CTGTACAGTTTGAACTGTACAGCATGTGAAATCTACCTAAGTAAAGCCATTACCAAACAAAAAGTTCATGAAGAAGAGAGACCCATGGCCTCAGAGGATGCCAGAAAACAAAAAGGAATGGCACATCAGGGATTTAGCTCAGTGGTGCTGCACCTGCCTCGCAAGCGCAAAGTCCTGGGTTCAATCCCCAGTACCAGGAGAAAAAAAAAAAAGGAATGGCAGGAGCCAGGCATGGTGGCAGATGCCTATTATCCCAGCACTCTGGGAGCCTGAAGCAGCAAAATCAAAACTTCAATTCCAGACCAGGCAACTTAGTGACTTGGTGAGACCCTGCCTCAAAATAAAAAAGTAAAATAAAAAGGGCTCAATGCAAAGAACTTGGGTTCAATCCCCAGTACCACCAAAAAAAACAAAATAAACTAAAAAACACCAACCAGGAACTGACGGCAGCAAACTGACCACCAGCCCTGCGGCACAATTCCACAGAAGAGTGCTGGGGCAGAGCCTGGGAAGAGATTACTCTTAATCAGGCTATAGGGAGGAGAGTAACATGCCTTCAGTAGCTGGGGGACACAGGGCTCAAAGATTTCAAAAGAGAGACACAATGGCATCTTTGACACTGATGGAAAAAGCTAGCGAAAAAGGGCAACACTGACACTGCAGTCAGGGAGAGAGACGTGGGAAGAGGCGCCCATCCTGAGTCCACCCACCCCACAGCAGCTCTGCCTTGCCTCCCTCCATCCCAAGACTCGTGAACACCTACTGGTCAGAGGACCCTCAGTTCCTGCTAATGATCATGTGTCAAGCCCACGCTCACAGCACTTCTGTAATCCCAGGTCTGGAAAGATGAAACGGCACATCAGGCGCTGACTAAGCAAAAAAGGATTTCTTGTTTAGAATAAGCAGTGGGACCAACGGCCAAAACAGCCTGGCCATGTAAAGGTGGGGATGAGATGAAAAGCATAAGCCTGCACGTTTCACCTTCTCAGTTTACTTCTAGTAAAGATGTAAGATGTAAGGAGCCAAGGCCCAGAAACCTCAATGGTCAAAAAACTAGCCTTATCCAGCCAAACTCAGATATATGTGCATGGCCATCCTTTTCCAGGCAAATGGGAAGTAATAGCAGGAGTCCAATCTGGAAATTAGAGGACATTCTTAAAGTCACCAGCAGAAAACTGGAAAAGTCACAGGCAAACCTAGCTACCTGCAGGCCGGAGGGATCTGGCCCTGAGAGGCCATTCATGAAGGGTAGGACAGAGGTCCTCAGAGTGTGGGCCAGGGACACCTCTTCAGAGGGCAACTAGCCCAAACTACTTCATAACACTATAAAATGAGCCCCTCTCCTCACTCTCCACAAGGGACAGTGGGGCTTCCAGGGACACATGAAGTGCAATGACCCATCATTCTGCCAGCCGCTGCAGCATGTGCTACATATTCTTGTGCTTAACATTTGCTCAGTCTTTAATACAGTCAGTATCCATGCTTATAACCTACATAAAGAACTCTTGAGGTTCTTAAATTCTTGGGATTTGTAATTTAAATTATGGAGGTGTAATTTTTAAGAATGTAAGGGATAAAGTTTGAAGACTGAAATCTTTTATTTATAGTACTATTGCATGTAATGCCAAAAGACTCAAAGCAACCTAAAGGCCTTCAGTGAGAATAGCTCAGTAACTGCAGCCTGGCCATCTTGCAGGGCACAAGGATGCCAGGAGTGCTAATGAGAAGAGAGTAGGCTGAACAAGATGTTCCACAGATCTCACGGTGTTAAGGACAAAACCATGATTAAAATGTCCATACATGGGTTTGGGATGTAGCTCAATGGTAGAGCATGTGCTCAGCATGCACAGTAGCCAGTGCCAAAAAATTACAACAAAATTTACATATAGTATTTTTTAATTTACATACAGTATTTTTAGAGGATGGAGAGGAAGAGACTTTCAAAACTGCAAAAGCGAAAACAAACCACCTATCACTTGTTCATAAAAGGATTGTGTCCTTCATAACTGGAATGTCTGTTTCAGATCCAGACTGGACACCTTTCTCCTCAGAAGCAATGACCCTAACCCTAACCCTAACCCTAAGCCGCAGGACCAAATCACAAGTCACATGTGCGTGACATTTGACATTATCCCTCCCCCTCCCCACGAACTTACGCTAATACTAACTTTTCAACCCACACTGGAAGACACAGGCATTTCAATTTCAATGCTATCTATCACCCTGGCCCTAACCCTAACCCTAGCCTAACCCTACCCAAACAATAAGTCATCCTCAGGTACCCCTATTTCCGCACTATCCATGACCCTTACGAAAAGAAGAACCCTAACCCTAACAATCATACCCACACTCCAAACATCAGGTACATGAATTGGAACCCTAAACCTAAACCGACTCCTAACCCTAACCCTAACCCTAAGCCGCAGGACCAATTCACAATACCCAGGTGCTTGACATTTGACATTATCCCTCCCTCTCCCCAAGAACTTACGCTATTACTAACTTTGCAACCCACACTGGAAGACACAGGCATTTCAATTTCAATGCTATCTATCACCCTGACCCTAACCCTAACCCTAGCCCTAACCCTACCAGAACAATAAGTCATCCTCAGGTACCGGTATTTCCAGACATAGAGCAGAGCTTGTATCCAAGAAAGAACTCCTTCACAGACCTGAACACCGTCAGAGGGGTGTGTCTGTCAGCACAAGTACATGTTGAGCAAAGGCAAACAAGAGTCATGAGATCTTCTAAAATCTAGTATAAACCAAAGAATTAAAGTTTCCTTCATTCAAGAATTACTGCTTTCTCAGATCAGATTTCTTCTCCACAAGTACCATAACCCAAACCCCAAAACACAGAATAAGGCCCTGGAATGTGTCCACTTCACGAGGCCAGTGAGGGACAGCCCTTTTCTGCAAACACAGCTACATGTCAGGAAACACAGGTGCTATTTCACTTAGCCTTGAAACCTAAGTAAGTCATCCTGTAGAACTAACCTATGTATGTCTACCAAAACAAATGCTCCTTCCAGATGCAAGAATAATGTAAAATGCCATACAGCCTTTAAGAAAAATAAAAATTCAGAGAGAACATGTTACTAAACAAAACTGGGTTAAGTTACGCATTTTAATACCAACAGAGAGAAATATGTGTATACAGTTGAAAGAACAAAACTCAGAATCAAATATTACTAGAAAGTATGTTTGCACAGCAAAATTCTTTTCCCTTTGAGACTAAAATGCCCAACCATGCTTAATTTTCCTGACATTTCTGAGGTTTTGAAGCCACAGCTAACGGATCTGAATCATCTGAACAAAACCATGTTAGAGTGACATGTTACTGGAAAGCCTAGAATAGAATGCTAAATATACAGGCACCCACCCATACAGGCTCTTTTGAAGAGAATGATCACATGTGAAACCGTATCAAGTTGTCCATAACGAAGTTCAAGGGGAAGCAGTACATCTCTAGCAGGTAAATGTAATGCACAGATGCCTAGAAGTCAAATAACAAAACACAGAAACAGGACCTGCCTTTTATTGATAAAAACTAAGCCTAGTCTAACCATGAACTCAACTTAATGAAACTCTTCATCATGCTTGCTGCCAGCAAAGAAACAAGAACCTCCCCTGAAATCTAAATCAGGCTTGTATCAGCAGCACACAACTCCCAACCCTGGCACTGTCCCAACTGTTCACCTAAGGAAAGGAGGGAGGGAAGTACGTGGCTCCACAGCTCCATCTGTGACATTACCCTTTCTCTTAAACAAGCGTGCCACTTGGAGCCGCATTCTGCTTTATTTGGGTTGGCAGTTTAAGTACCAACAGCAGGGTGGCACCATGGCTGCACACTGAACTGGGTCAACCTTAGCCTGTTCTGGGGAGCTCCCAGTGTGCCCTGGGCCTCAGTTCCCTCCTGCCTCCCAGAGGAGAGGGCCAGAGGTTCCTGGGTGGAAACTGGGATTGGATGGGGGCAGTCCTGGATGGTAAAAGCCTTAGGCAGCCAGCATCCTTTTCCTGGCCTCCAAGACCGTCTCAGCACCTTTTTCTTTAATAAACAAGGGATATAAAGTCCTCCAGGGTTTTCAACAGAGTCCCTTCATTTGAGACACAAGATCACAAATTATAAGGCCAAATGAATACATCCTAGACCTCAGGTACCCAGGAAGACAGGGGCCAGCAGACAAAGGCCAGGGGATGGGTTGGGGTCTGGGAGGACAGTGGACAGGGTTCAAGGGACAGACTTGGAGCTAAGGTTCAGGATTCAAGGGTGAGTGCATGGGAGGGGGAATTCAGGGATGGGAGCAAGGGAGCAGAGTCATCGGTCAGAATTCCAGGTTCAGGGACTTGGGGCCAGAAGTTGGGATTTGGAGGAGGTGGAGATTTGGGAACAGGCTGGATAAGGTTGGGGGCAAGAGATCAAAATTTGAAGGCTGTCATTCTGGAGTCAGAATTCAAGGCTTGGGAACCAGGCTTCAGGGTTTGGGAGCCAGGATTCAGAATAGGGGGCTCCAGGGTCAGCAACTGTGGTTAGGCTTCAGGGTTGGGAGCCAGGGTTTGGGGATGAAACAGGGAGGTTTGAGGTCCTGGAGTTCAGGGCCAGTGTTGGGGATAGGGACACTGGGACCAGGATTCTGAGGATCAGGGATCCAGACCTATGTACCAGCATCAGGATTCAGTTACTAGAGCTTGGGCTGAGTTGGAGATTTGACGGCCACTGACTGGGTTAGTGGAACTGGATTAGGATAAAGGGGTCTGGGCTGGATCTTCGAGTTCTAGGCTCAGGGATCAGGGAAGGGGTCCCAAACTCAGGGGTCAGGGTCGGGTCCTGGGTCAGGAGGTTTCCTGGCCTGAATCCTCGGCTTGGGGGTGTGGGCCAGGTCCACTGCTTCCCTGGTCCGGGGTCCCTGGGAAGGGTGGGGGGAATGTCAGGGCCAGGGTTAGGGGGAGTCCTGGCCCGGACTGCCGCTCCTCCCCAGCCGACGGCGCGGCACTTACGTCGTCGAAGAGCGAGCCCACGTTGGCCGTGACCAACAGCACCGCGGTGCCCGGGGCGGCTGCCTTCCCCGCCATCGTGCCAGGAGGCGCGGGCGCTGGGCTGGGCGGTGGCGGCCGCTTCCTGCGGGCCAGCCGGGCTGGGGTCTCGCGGGGCCGCGGGGCGTCAGCTGCACCGGGGGTTGGTCCCGGGGCGCATTGCGGGCTCGGCGGGTCGGGCCGGGCCTGGCCGGGGCTCCGGCCTTGCGCTCGTCTGTCCTTGCTGCTCCGCGGCCCCGCGCCCGCTCGCTGCAGCGTCTCACAGCGGCCCGCGCGCAGCCATTAGACCAGCCGGGAAAGTTCCCGCAGCCGCCACGGCCGACTCGGGCTCAGTCAAGTCCCGCCCCTGGGGGCGGAGCCTGCGCAGGGCGGGGCGAGTCCTGCGAGGGGCGGGGATGAGAGAGGACAAACGCGATGGGGCAAGCCCTGGGTGGAGAGAAACCCGCTCAGAGCCTGCTCACAGGCGCGGCGGGACCTGAGGGCTGGTGCTGCGCCTGAACCCGAGAGTGGACGGAAAGGGGGTGGGGCCTAAGGTTAGGGCGGGGCCTGAGGAGGCCCGCGGGCTGGGCGGGGTCTGTTGGTTTGGGATGGGGCGGAGCCGGCGTGGAAAGAACGGTACAGCTCCTCAGGCGCGCTTCAGTCAAGCAAGCCGAGCCTCCACGCGCTCCGCCCTGCCCTGTCCCCCAGGCCGCGACTGCGCACAGACTCCTCCCTCCGCACTTCTATTACGTCAAAGTCTGGCTCCAAGGGCGCCTTTTAAAGGGGCCGCGCGCTCTGGGCGGCGGGGACCCGTGGGTCCCCCTGCCGCTCTGACCGGATACCTGGGACTCCAGGATGCTTCCGCTGGCACCCTCTGCAAGCTGCGGCCCTGTTTCCAGCCTCAGTCAGGGCCTTCGAGGGGATGGGACCAGCGGAGCGGAGGCGGGGAGGGTCCCTGGCTGGTGAGGGAGAAGCCTCTACAAACCCTGGAGTCCAGTTTGTAATTACCCCGTCTCCAGTGACCGGGTTCTGCACCCCAGCCACTCCCGGCAGAACAAGTATATGTGATTTTGCAATTTCCTAACACGTCCACCCAGTTCCTGATGCATGACTTTACTTACAAAAAATAGAACGCTGTTGCGCCAAGAACACTGTAAAAGGAAACATCCTTTTAAGAAACAAGCCCTAAATCAGGTGCTTCCACAGCCAGCTGCTGCCCACTTGCAGCACCTTGCACTGGTCAGGGCCAGGTCCTGGGGCAGCAGAGCCAGGCCTAGGGACGTTTAATTAAACCACACCCACAGAGCTCCAGGGGCTGGAAGCAAGAACAGCGTGGATGTAGGAGTCCAGAAATGCCTCCGGGGTAGGATCGTTTTGGCCTGGCCTTGGGGTAGAGTGGGCCTGAGACAGATCCTGGCCGGAACCTTCCCTGCTGGAGGCAGTGGGAGAGACCCACGTTCAGGTTAGACTGCCGCATCTGAAGCTCCGAGGGAACCCATCCTACAAGACAGCAATGTGGAGGTACAGCAAGAACCACCTTGTAATTTAAATTTTCTTTCTTGTAGCTACATTTTTTTAAAGTAACAAGTAACAGCCAGGTATAATTTTAGTAATACATTTTATTAACCCAGTCGATACAAATATTTCATGTGTAGCTAGTACGTCATAGTGTTAATGAGATTTTTCCACACAAAGACTGTGAGATGGACATCTCATTTTTGTGGAACATCTCACAGCCACATTTCTAGTGCTCGGTATCCACGTGACCCATGGCCACTGTACTAGGCAAGGTCACTCGAGAGTTTTGCAGGCACAGATAGAGAACAATGTCCACAGAGAAGAGAAGCAGAGCCCCCACTGACCTACACCCTCATAGTGGGCTTCATCAAGGCTAGCCCTCAGCTGCTGAATACATGGCAGTGCCCAGTGGCATCAAAATATGTGGTTCTGTTCTGTTAAACTCAACTTTACGGGCTGGGGGACAGCTGGGTAGACTCTGTGGACTGCAGGATCTGTGAACCACAGGCTGCCTGGGCTGCACCTAGCTAAGCAGGCATTGCTTCCTTTGTACTAATACATCCAGGGTTCCTGCTTATACTGACTACTTAGCCTGATTCCACCAAAATTCTCGTAAAGTGACTACTTCATTCAGTAGATGTTTTCTGTGGACTGTATATCTCACTCCTGAATTCATAGATTTAAGCCCTCACCCCCAATATGACTGTATTACCTAGGACAGTGATGGCAAAGCTTTTAGAGCTTTCAGTAATAACAATAGACCACTGTGGCACACATGGCATATGTTCACCACCACTGGAGGAGATGAGGTTTATCCAGTAGTAGTTAAGGTTAAATGAGGTTCTAAGAGTGACATCTAATCTAATAGAATCAGTGTCCCTCTAAGAACAGACACCATGGAGTTCAAATGCTCCGCACCCCCTCCATTTGCACACACACAAAAAGTTATGTGAACAAAGAGAAGACTGCCACCTAAAAAGCTGAGATCCCCTTCACCAGGAGCAAATGCCTGCTGGAACTTGATCTTGGACTTCTGTCCTCTGTAACTGTTAAAATAAATTCTTGTTTAAGCCCCATCTCCACTGCTCCCCACTGTTGTATTTTGTTATAGCAGCCCAAGCTAGGTAATACAGTCTCTTATTTTTCTTTGTAACAATATAAGCCCATGCCAAGCATACTCTTAATAGAAACTCAATGTAGGGGCATTGCTGATGCCTGGAACCTGTTTCTCAAGAATGAACACCTCATTCCTATGCCAATGGCATCCCTTGAGGTATTGGAGATGCCTACACTGAGCACCAGACTCCTGGCTTCTTGCTTGTGTGCCCAAATCACTCAACGATGTCAGTCATTTCCCTCCCTGCTTTCGTGAATTACCTACGGGTCAATTACCAAGGATGGGATGCCCTTGCTTTTCATGGAGGAAGGACTTCCAGTCTATGAAGTTCCTGTCAAGTCAACAGGTTGCCAGCATCTGAAAGCTACTCTGCACATCCCTGCTAGAAGGAATGAAGTACCCATCCCATCCTAGGCCACCCCCTCCTGGATCATGCCATCAAGCTCCCAGGCAGGCCCAGTGATACAGATCATGTAAAAGCCTCCTTTACCCTGCACCCTTCGATTTCTTCTGTTCCCTTTGTTGAAAATCTTGTCCTAAAGGTCTACCAGACGCTCTGCTGGGCGTTCCAATTGGCCATTTTCTTCTGGGCCCTTCTGAACCTTCTAGGCTCCTCATGCCCTAACCCCAATGGATCCCACTTCATTGAGTTCCGACTGGCCTCCTGTTACGGCTTCTGTTTAGATGTACCCCCAAAGCCTCATATGGTCATAGGTGGGGCTTTTTCAGAGGTGGCTGGATCTAGAGTGTGTGACACTGGAATTGATTCATGGTGCAATGCCAGGCTCAAGAGCACTAGGATTAAGAGTGTGAGTGCTACCCGCCCTAAGTAGCCTGGATAAGATAAAGGGGGTGGAAAGATGCTGTTAAGGTCCCTTGTTGCTTTTGCTGTCTTCTGCATGCAATGACTGTTTCTCCTCTGAACGCCCCTCTGCTATGTGCCACTCTGCCTTGGAGCCAGTCAACTATGGACTGAAACTTCTACAATCTGTGAGCTAAATAAAGCTTTCCCCTTTGCCTTTGGATATTGGGTATTTTGTCTCAGTAACAAGAGAAAAGTAACTAAGGCACCACCTATTCAGTGGCAGGTCTCCAGACCCAATTCCAGCCAACCTCCCAACATGGTTGACACACTGAACTCCTTCCTTGGGAACAAGACTTGCTCTAGCATCCATGACATTCCTGCCCTGTCCCTATACTGTTGATGACTATATTCCCAGTCTCCTTGCTGATTCCTCTTTGTGCCCCACCTGAAGTCCTGGGATCTTGGAACTGGTCCTTGGTCCATTCTTCCTTGGACACACTTCCTCCTGGCCAACCTCATCAGGGCCACATCTTCTGTCTTGTCAACATGCCCAACTGCTGCCCAGAAAGAGCCATCTCAAATCCAATAAAGAAACATTCCCAGTTCTCCCCTTTCCTCCTGCACCTCAGACCCAACAGCATTTGCTTACGCCTTATATCCATGGTCACCTCTGAGCTTTGGCATCTGTATGTTTCTGTTGGCTGGGTTGGCTTCCTCTGGCAGGCCTCCTCAAATGCCCTTTCTTTTATATGACTCCCCACAATCTGACCCACTCACCACATCACACTTGCCTATAACACTGCCAATTCATCTCACAGCCCTTCTGAGTTTCTACTCTGCTTGCTGTCAATCGCCTCCCCTTACCTACCTCCCAGCAGCCTGAGAATAGGGACAAGCCCTGATTGATCTGGCCACATAGAAAATGTTCAATAAATACATATTATGTGAATCAGTGATATGGCAGGGTTATCACAATGCTGGGCAATCAAATATTCAGAAAGACCTTGAGCACTTACATCACCTGTGTTAAAATCTACATTCATAAAATTAGGCAAGAGGGAATTCCTTTCCCTGTGCCTTCATCTTTTGAATATTGTCCTAGGATATCTTTGCCAGGATAATAAATGTTTAAAGCCTTGCCTCCCCATTTCGGAAGAGGCCTGGGCCGCCTAGCCTAGGAGGGGTAGAAGACAAAGGAAGAAGGAGCAATGGCTCTATTCCCTCCTGCTGCTGAGATACAGATCCGTCTTTAGCCCAGGCCACTCAGCCTGATCCTCTTGGCCTCCCAGGAGGCAAATTCAGCTCAAGTCTTTTGTTAAACAAGTTTACTTCAGCATATATATTTATAGCACTTGGTAGTTGCAAAGTGCACTTCAGTCATTTAATAATCGAGTCTCAAAGTTCCTGCCAACCGGCTCAACCTTATTCCACTGTATATCAAAACACTGAGGTTAAGTGACTCACTCAAGATAATTATCTATAGACAGTGAGCCTAGCTAAATGCACAGTGGAAGGAATCCAGGGCCCTGTCATCTTTGGAGGGCAGTGGAGAAAGCTGGCTTTAGTCACTAGCTAATGAGACACTTGTTACTTTACCTGAAAATCATATATGAGGAGGATTTTTTCCCTCAAAGTTATTGGATACTTTCCTCATTAATCAGCTTAGTAATAGATATTATCTTCAGCCATCAGCTGAACATGAGGGGCTTACTTTTCTCATTTTCAATCTTCACAACCGTCTTAGGAGATGTGTCTTTCTATTTCATATGTGAGAAAACTGAGGCTGTATAATTAAGAAGGTTAAGGGCCAAGGATTTAGCTCAGTAGTGCTGCCCCTGCCTCGAAAGTGCAAGGTCCTGAGTTTGATCCCCAGTACCAAAAAAAAAAAAAAAAGAAGAAGAAGAAGCTTGCCAACCTCATACAGCCGCTAAGGCCCAAACCCAGGGCAAGTCCAGCCAACTCTAAACCAGTGGCTTCAGCAGCACTATAGGGCTTTAATTTGCACACACATACACTCAATTATTCATTCAGCAAATATTTATTAGGTGTATTCTTTGTGCTATGTACTATTCTGAACACCAGGGTGAGACAGCAAAGGACAAAAGATTCTGTCCTATAGAGACAGTCAAGAAATGTATGTAAGGTGTCTTAATCACTTTTCTATCACTGAAGACAACACCCACAGCTTAATGGAGGACAGGTTTACCTTGATTTACAGTTTTTAGAGGGTTCAGTCTATGTTCAACCTGCTCCAATACAGAAATAGAAAGGTGGAAGGGCCAGGCAGAGGAAAATTCCTCATATCATGGCATCCAGGAAGCAGAGAGTAAAAGGAGGAGCCGGAGAGGGAGATACACATTTCCAAGTCACTTCCTTAGGAACTGCCTCTTCAGACAAGGTTCTACCTCCTAACAGCACATTCAGATGTGAATTAATTAATTAGTACCTCCATGATCCAACTTCTGAACATGAGGCTTTTGGGGGACATTCTAGATCTGAACCACAACATAGGGTGTCTCAGATTATGAGAGTGTATGCTATGTAGCTTTCTGAACTTTTCCTTATAAAGTCATTTGCTGGTCAAAGAGCAGTAGAAAATTTCAGAAAAGTATACAGAGTATCACAATGGATACACTCACTACAATTGTACTGCAATAAACCAAGCACTGTTATTCTTTTAACAGAGCTTCTTGTTTCTGCCAAGCCCTAGAATGAGCACTGTAACCATGCCATATATATAGTTTTAATGCAACACCATAATGTAAGTACTTTCTGACATAATTACAACTCTCCCTAAATGTTTGGATATTTTGTTATTGGTTTTGTAGAGACGGGGTCTAGTTTAGGCTGGCTTTGAACTCATTATGTAGCCCAGGCCGTCTTGAACTCTCAGCGATCCTCCTTCCTCAGCCTCCCAAGTGCTGGGATTATAGGTTTGCACCACCACACCTGGCCTTCCTAAATGTTTTTGATGCCTGGGTAATAATCACCTTATAGATACATTGAGTCTTACCTAACTGGTGACACCATATTTGTATAAGTTTAGATTGTTTCCAGTATTGCATGATTAAGAAATGGTGTAATAAACATCTTTGTATATAAAGCAGTTTCAGCTTTTAAGATACTTTTCTTAGGATGAATTCTAAGAATTAAAATGTTAAAGAGTATAAATAAAAGGAATCAAAGGGCTGGGGGGCTGTGGCTTCATGATACAGCATTTGCCTAGCATGTACAAGTCCCTGGTTTCAATCCCAGCACCAACTCCCACCACCCCCCACAAAAAGGGATAAAAATTGAAGACTTGAGAAATGTATATAAAGAAATACTTAGAGGGAAATTTATAGCTTTGAGTGCTTATTTAGAAAAAGAAGTGAAATGCCATAGAGTTCTAAATTAGAAAGGTAAAAGAAGAAAGCAAATTAAACCTAAAGTCACTATAAGAGAGGAAATAAGAAAGATAAGCATAAAATTCATGAAAGAAAAAGCAAACACAGAAAATAAATAAAATCTAAAGACTGCTCTTTGAAATAATCAATAAGCCAGTATCTAGAATGATGAGAGAGACAGAGTCATAAAATCCTGGGTACATAATGAGGGAGGAGGTATAGCTACAGACTCTGTACACTGAATAAAAGAATTAGGAAATGCTGTGAATGACTTTATACTAATAAAACTGGCACTTTAGATGAGATGGATAAATTCCTTGAAAGACACAAACTACCAAAGTACCTATTAAAATTTCTGAGTCCGTGATTTATAATCCTCTCTCACAGAAAATTCCAGGCCCAGATGTCTCTACTGGCAATTACTTTTTTTTTTTCTTTGAGATAGGGCTTCCTATGTAGCCCAGGATGATTTGAACTAGTGATTCTAATGCCTCAGCCTCCCAAGTGCTAGGATTACAGGAATGTACCACCGTGTGCAGCTTTCCACTGGTAAATTCTGTCAAATATTTAAGAAATAAATAGTGCTGAGTCTATACAAACTCTTCCAGAAAGTTGACAAGGAGGGAATATTTTCTTGACTAATTTTAAGAGGCCAGATTTCCCTGATACTAAAGTAGATGAAGACAATACCAAAGAAAGAAAGAAATTTATAAGCAAAGCTCCTTCATAAAGATAGAAAAAAAAATTCTTAGCAAAATATTGATGAATCTAATCAACATGTAAAAAGAATAACCAAGAAAAACCAAGTGGGGTTTACCTAAGATTGCAATAATATCCAAAAATCAAAGTAATTCACCCTATTAATAGATTAAGAAAAAATAGGATCAGGTAAATAAATGAAGAAAAGGTATTTGATAAAACTCAACATCCTTTTATGGTAAAAACTTACTAAAGACTAAAAGTAAGGAAATTTCCTAAATCTGACAAAATGTATCTATGAACAATTTACAGCTAACACATTTGGTGCTGAAAGACTGAGTGGTTGCCACAGAGATTGGAAACCAGGCAAAGTTGTCTCCTTTCACCTCTTCTACACTGGAGCCCCAGTCTGGGCAATAAAATAAGAAAAAGAAATAAAATCCATGCAGATTGGAAAGGAAAAGGTAAAAGTGCCTTTGTGCTCAGGAAACGTGGTCATCTGATAGAAGATCCTAAGGAATCTACAAAAAGTACTGCTAAGTAAGTGAATTTAGCAAGGCCATGGAGTGCAAGTCAGTATTTTAAAATAATATGTATTGCTATAGATCAGAAATGAGCATTGGAAAATAAAGTTTTAAGTAATTTCCATTTACAGTAGCATAAAAACAAATGTCTAGGAATAGATCTAGCATAAAATATATAAGACTTATGCAATGAAAACTATGGAACATGGTGGATGAAAATAAATGAAGATAAATAATGGAGGGATATACCATGTTCATGGGTGTAAGCCTAGGTGATGTTAAGATGTCAGTTTTCCTTAGATTACATTGATCCATAGATTTAATGTAATTCTTGTGTCCTCCTCTTCCTCCCCTCCTCCTCCTATACTTCCTCCTATTTACCTCCTTCTCCTTCTCCTTGTACTCCTCCTACACTTCCTCCTTTCCCTCCTCCTCCTCTTCCTCATTCTTTTCCCCCTTCTCCTTTGGCCTTTTCCCTCCTGTCCCTTCCTCCTTCAACTTCTTCTTTTTAGAAATTGACATGTTGATTCTAAAACATATATGAACATGCAAAACTAAGTAGAATAGCCAGAAGTGTTTTGGAGAACAAAACTGGTATACTTATACTACCTTGTTTCAAAGCTTGCCATAGAGCTACAGTCATTAAGTTTGTATTAAGAAGGCATAAAGATAGGCATGTAGATCAATGGAATAGAATAGAAAATCCAGATTGGATCCAGTTGATTTCAACAATGGTACCAAAGAATGGTCCATTCAGAAAATGGTGCTGAGATCAGCTGGCTTCCCATGTGGAACAGTATAAGCCTGGGTCTCAATATACATAATACCAAAATAAGGTAATTATGGATTATACACTCAAGCACAAAAGTTAAGGCTTGAAAACCTCCAGGGAGTTAATCCATAATACAATGTACATGGGTATCTGCAATTTCTTGTGTGCAATACCATATACACCAAAATTCTCTAAACATGGAAAGTTGCTTTTAAATTCATTGGTTGGCATAACCTGAAAGACAAATAGTTTGTATATGCACCTAGTGTAGCTATCCAAATAGGTCATTTCCAGGGCACAGAAACATTCAGATATGGGGGTACTCTTCTGCTATGTAATGTGGAATTTATGGGATGTGCAGGCTATCGTCCCTGGGGTTAAAATCTGAATTCTAAATTTCATCTGGTCCCAGGCTGAGATAAGGGTTTATGGAACTTTAATTGTAGCAGTACCTTGGAAAACACTCTACATTCAGGTCTGCATATTTTATTGCTTAGAAAAAGCTTTCTAAGTGTTATACACAGAAAACCTAATTGCAGAGGATGCTGTTTGCTCTCCCCTGGTTTCTGTTTCATCTCCCTCGCTGACCCACCCACAACCTGCAGAAATATAGGCATCTGAACATGGAGGGCTGGGACAGCACTTGACTCACAACCCAGTTACTTCCTGACATCACCGCAAGGAAAGAAGCCAGGAGTGAGTATACACAGGTACATGCTCAGAAGAGGCCATATCTGGGCTCCCAGGACCAGTTGAAGGGGATAGCCACTCACAGCTCACATCTTGCCTCCCTGTTCTGCTAAGTGAGAGCTAATCTTCCATGGAAGAGACTCACTAATCAGGACTCTAAGGTTACTATCTGTTTATGGACATCTCACAAATTCTTGACAGTGGGAGAGCATGAACTTGGAGCCCTTATCAACTGGTCAAAGCTCAGCTCTGCAAGGTCTCCCTTCTGTTTCTGGAAGGCCCCTCCATAGGCCCTCCTTTTGGTTTGCTCTTCATCAGCTGCATAAAATCAGCAGTAATGCTTCCCAGTAGTCAGGAGGTGACTCCACTAGGGATGTTTTGCAACATGACCTGTTCACCCATTCACATTCAAAGCATGTGTGATCCTGACATTTTCTTACAGCCCTGGGAAACAGTAAGTTTTGCCACTCCACTTCACTTTTAAGGAAATTAAATAGTGATTTTTGATTTCTCATGGTGGTCTTAGGGATGCCCATCCAATCAGATCATGTGAATGCAGGTGGCTGCTCTTCTTGGCAAGGCAGTTAATCCTTCTCCTTTGGCAGAAACAGATTGTTGACAAGGCCAAATTATTTACATAAAATTACGTAGGCAGAAAGTGTTGGCATACATCATAAGTCAGACAGAAGTGCTTACCATATCAATGCAGCTCTTTTCAGTAGACCTGCTGAAATGGGATCCCTGCCAAGGAACATATATAGGTTAGGTTCCCAAACAACTAAGAGTTCCAAAGATAACTAAAACAAAAACTCAGGAAAATATATAGAGAGAAAATTTGTCTCTGAGTTGATGATAGCCTTTAATGTTGTCAAACCTTCTATTTTTAAGGGAAAAATAAGTATATCATTATTTTCTCTTGAAGACAAAGTTTTAAAGAAATGCCAATTTAGATACAGTGGTGGGTATCTGTAATCCCAGCTACTTGGGGGCTGAAGCAGGACGATCATGAGTTCCAGGCCAGCCTGGGATACTTAGCAAGACCCTGTCTCAAAATAAAATAAAATAAAAAGGGCTGGGGTTATAAATCAGTAGTAAAGTGCTTGTGTAGCCTGTGTTAAACCCTGGGTTCATTCTACAACATACACACACACACACACACACAAAGAGGAAGGGCCAACTCTTACTTCAATATTCAGCATAGCTAGTGTTGGCAATCAATTTTCAAGGATTCTCTACTAACCTGTAATTTCTATTTTGTAGCTTTGTATTAGTAAATTATCTTTATAAAGATTCATCTATCTCTATAGTCCATTGTTCAAGTCTACAGAAGATTTCTAAAATATTCTCATGTTATTTTGAAAGGAAAAGACTCAATAGCATGTAAGCTTTAATCAGTATTAATGTGAGCATTGTCTTTTGTATCCTCCCTGCACAGGATGGGTGTGTCAAGTTCATATATGGAACCTGACACATTAAGTATCATCCCTGACACATACAGAGACTCTAGCCCTAGAAGATGCATAACTAAATAAACATGCAAATAAGTGATCCCACTCAGCTGAAATGTTTTAATAAAAACATATCATTTGATTACATTTTTATATTATTTTGAATCATGGCCTGTTCATAAATGAATCTCACTAGGTATACACATTACATATTTTTCTGCATTAAATTAATTTTTCAATGACTTGTTTTTGTCAACTGGGCACACATTTGCTGTTATGGATCCTGGTAAGTGACTTTGCTTCAGAAATATTATTTCCTTTGTCCTCTAGGAGAATGGTAAAAATGATGGTGTGTGGCTGTCAGCAGCTAAAAATAGTGCATAGCTTCAAATACTGTGAGGAAATTTAGGAGCACTTGACTGAGTTTCAGACTTTGCTTTGGCTGTGGATGGATATTTTCTCTTTTGGTTGACAGTAGTTTCAGTGACATAATGGGGTGAAGGAGAACGTAGTGATAAAGTTATGTGACTCCTTGAGGCTCTATATTTGTGGAATTTGATCCCAAAAGAAAAGATGATGTGAAAATCACTTGAAAAAAAAAATGAAGGGATTGTAAATGCGGTGAGGAGTGGTGACGCATATCTGAGGAGATCTTGAGGCACCCCACCTTTCTCCTGGAAAGTAGGGAGGTCACCATAAGCTGAAAGTAAGCCAGGGGACAGGCCATCAGACCAGCAGCAGAGGTGGCTGGTGCTTCATGCTGGAGTCCAGTCACAAAGGGCAGCAGTGTCAGGTCCAGGACATAAGGGTGGGAGAAGGTCCAGGGATTTAGCTCAGTGCTTTTCCCGCCGGACCCGAGTTCGATTTCTGGTACAAAAAAAAAATAATAATAAGGATGGGAGAGTTCCTCAGGTCTTGAGAAAAACAGTTAAGCTTGATGAGGAGATACCATTCCTGTCCAGATCCAGATGGGTTACACCTAAGGTACCAAACCAGAGCAGAAAAGATCAGTGAAGGAAGTTTTATCTTACTGTGCTCCATAATGTTTAACAGCAGATATGTGTAGAAATACATGTTCTTGAGTATAGATTAAAGTCACAGAGTTTTATTACTAGTTTTTCTGAACTGAAAAATAAAGAAAACAAAGCGTTTATCACTCCCATCCCTAAAATAGTTTTTCACACATTTGAGAACAAGTATTAACTTACAATTTATGTCTCATCTACTTGTAGCAGACTACAATCTTAGCTTAGTCCCCAGTAGTCACAAACGTGAATGTTTTTAAATCTCCTTCCATTTCATCTACTGCATCTATTAATTTCTAGACAGTAATACTTTAACTTTAGCAAGTATAAATTACTGAAACAGGTTCACTCTGAAAAACAGAAATATCTTAGAATAGTTACAATTAAGAAAGTCAGAAACACACCTTCACTGACTTTCACTAACTATTTTAACTCACCATTTATTTAAATCTAGGAATAATTCAAGTCCAAAAAGAAAAATTGGTAAAAAAGTCAAATATTTTATTTTATTGCTATTTGTGTTTATGGCTTTTCTGGCTTCTTAATTAAAGAGAAATATATGGTTGGTAATGTTAATAGTATAGTACCTTACTATACAATGCATTGCTTTCTTTGGGAGAAAGTTTTTATTATCCTTTCAATTATAAAATTAAAACATGTTGATACAAAAGCAGGCTTTTCTATTAATGCAGAAATTTTACATATCCTTCAGTGCAATTTCTTCCTTTTCTCTACCCACAGTTTTATTGTACTGTATTTTAAATTTACTTTCAACTGATATATAAAAATACAAAATTGGGCCAGAGATTTAGCTCAGTGGCGCTGCATCTGCCTCACAATTACAAGCTCTTGAGTTCAATTCCCAGTACCAAACATAACAAATATGAAATTGTACATATTATTGGGAAGCCATATTTGTTTTTAAAATGTTGTACATTAAATTTATTTCTGGGTGTTTTAATCTTCTGTGTTTCATTGGTCACGGGACTGTTTTCTACCACATATTCAAACTAGCTGTGTTATATAAATACATATGCTAATCTGAAGATACATTTAACATTTGAAAACTATCACTCTTGGTTTTCTCTCTTCTACGATTTATTAGGCATTTTCTTGGTTTTTTTCAGACAGACAATTATATTAGCATGTCTGAAATAAAGATTGTAATGCTATTTAAGGCTAAATTAAGATATACCTGAGAATGGAAAATGCAAGACAGATCCAAACCACAAATGAATTTTAATTAAAATGTTTATTTTTTGAAATATGAGTCAAGAAAAACATTTGCTTTGTAACACATACTATCATAATTCTTAAAATGTAGTACCTTGAATAATAAGCCATTTCAAGTATTTCTTTAAGAATTAAAGCTCTGCAGGCCATTCTGAGAGGTGAAGGAACCCCATTAACAGAGCATGTCTCACCATCCTGCCTGCACATTGACTATTACTTTCCACTTGCCCTGATCATCCAGTTTCCTTCAGTGATGCTAGCTTAGGCTGGCAGAGTAAATTGCCCAAAATTTAGCAGCAGAATTGCAGATGGCTCAATTACCCACTCAGCATCTGGTACCCTCACCTTTCAACCTTAAAATGATTCCAAGATCAATTACTAAAACAGTCATGTTAATTAACAGTCATTGGAAACTCAAAGCTGCTTAGGAATTACAGATTCTGTCTTTTCCAGCCAAAGTCCAGGAAGCAAACTGGATTTGAATCCTTAAAATTTCATGGGAGAATAAAAAATCTCACTCCTGACCTCATTACTAGTACCTGCCCCTCACTTTAAAGAGCTCCCTCTGAAGAATCCCCAGGCCCTGAAATTCTTGACTTGCCCCAGAGATGGAAGAGGCATTTTTCTTCTTCCTTCTCCTCATCTTGGCCTGCAGATCAGGTCCAGGGCTCCTAGCATCCCTGAGGCTAAGAGCAAATGGACAAGAACAACAGAGAGGAAACATTCACAGATGGCTCTGGCCAAAGACAGGCACCGGCCCAGAGAGTAAATGGCAGTGTTGGATGCAGCTACACTGGGGCATCCCTAGAACTCAAACACTTAACGTGCAGGAATTCATAGTTTGGTTCATTACTAAACACATGCACAATTTAGATAAAATTTTAGAATCATGGTGTTTCTCCAATAGAACTTTTAGGACCTGGTTCCTCATCTAAGGCACAGAGCAGAAAAAAATGGTTCAAGTGCCTATTCCCAGTTCTCCAACAATCCTTCCATTTCTGTATCCTCCTGAGTCAGAGGAGGGAAAGGAGTTCCTTAGGTACAACAGACACTCACAGGGGCTCAGTTTCACTGATCCTGAGGAGAGAGAGACTGGTACAGCATCTTGTCACATCTGCCCTTGTCCACCATATACTTCCTGTGGACTGGGCTGAAGGTGTCTAGTAGGGTCTGTGACACCACCTACCTTTCCTGGCTCATCTGAGCAGCTCTTTTTCCAGAGTGGACAGAGCAAGGATGGCAGCCCCCCTTTCACTGCCTTTGAGAGGGACACTGCCCCTGCCCTCTGGCTATTCCTGTTCCTCTTGACATCCCCTCATGATCCTCCCCTGGGCTAGACCCAACAAATCAACAGGCACTTGAAACTGGACTCAGCCTCAGGATCCACAGCAGAGGGGACAGGATGAAGTAGGTAGGACAGGTGGAAGAAGGTAGCATAATGGATATAGTCCATCTCCTCCCAGCCAGACTCGAGCAATTTGTCTATTGAGGTCCCCTTCATGTAGCACCCTTTCCCCTGCTTTGCCAGTTCTACTGGGACTGTGCTTGTCCAGGGGCCTGTATGCCTGCTTAGAAGGATGATCTTCTGCCATCTGTGGAGCATCTGTGGGAGCTGTGGGGCAATTCAGGCTGGAGCCCCTGCAGCCAACTTCACAGTGACTGAGAGGCAGCTGACTACAAGTAAAGAAGAGCCCATGTACAGAGAAAGCATAATAAGAGCTGAAGAGAGACAGAGGCAATGCAAACCACCAAACTGCCAGGTGTCTCAGACACAGAGAGACTGGCAGGACCAGGTTTCACCACCAAAGCTGAACCCAGCCCCTTCTGGAGCTGCTGTGGCCCTAGACTTCCTGAACCTGTTGAAAAAAGTCAGCGGTGCTGGAATTAACTAAATCATGGTGTTTCACCAACAGGACTTCAGGACCTAGCTCACCTGAAGCACAAAGCAGAGAAAATGGTTCAAGTGCCTATTCCTAGTTCTCCAAGGTTCTTTTCAAGTCTTCATCCTCCTGGGACAGCAGAGGTAAAGGGGTTCCTTAAGCACAAAGACACACACAAGAGCCCAGGAAGGCCCTGAGCAACTTCAGGGTCACTGGTAGCCTCTGTAAGTTAGCACTCAGATGAGATGTACCGTCAGTCAGGTGCCAGTGTGGCCAGCTTCATCCTAGCCTCCTCAGAGGACCACAGAGCTCCTAACCCCCAGAACAAAGCTCTCCATAGAATAGTCCTCAGTGCATAGTGGCTCATACAAGTTGGAAACGTGGGAACAGACTTTGACCACTTATCAGAATGATGATATGAACTTAAAGCTTCTGTTGTGACCAAATTAAGGAACAAAAGATGGCTGTCATGAGGAGCAATGTAACTCTTTTGGACTAGAAGCAAAGGACAATGTTAATTAAGTATTAAATGAAATGGTCACAAAACCAAAAATAAAACCTTCATAAAATAGAATTTGTCTAAAAGTAGAAAATCTGCTCCTACATGAGCCAGTGGTGTGAACACAGGGGACACAGTGAGTGTGTCAGTTGGCTGGTGGGAGAGGCCCTTTACTGAAGGGATGTTCACCCATGTGTGGGAGTTACTGGCCCTGAAGGTGAGCAAGTGGAGAAGTATGACAAGTCAATTTTGCAGGGCAAGAGGATGGAGTTTCCTGACCAGAGCCCCAAGATAGCCAAGTGAGAGGAGAGCCACTCACCAAAACAGCTGTTGTCAAGACATTCCAGCACAGAGAGGACTGGGAAGAAGTACCTGGTCATTCTCATGATCCTCCCCAGTCTAGACCCAACAAATCAAAGGGAAATGAAACTGGGATCAGCCTCAGGGTCCACAGCAGAGGGGACAGGGTAAAGTAGGTGGGACAAATAGAAGAAGGTAGCATCATGGGCACAGTCCATCCCCTCCCTGAGTCAAGATCTTTCTGGTAGCTGACCAGCCTGCTAAGAGAATGCAGGTAGAGGACATCCATGTGCTCCACACTTACCACCTCACAACAAGATTAAACTTGGCCTGGGTCATCTAGGCTCTGCAGGCTGCTTTGAAGTGGAGGGGCAATGGTGAGGTGGCACCATGGTGGGGGAGGCTACTCCCTTCTCCAGGGAGTCATCCAGTCAGCAGCCCCTGAGAGGAGTAAGAGGTATTCACTGAGTGGGACCATAATCTTGCAAGTCCTTCTCTTAAGGCAGATTCAGTTTGGCCCTGCACAAGACAACCAACAGGTATTTGAGAACAATCTCACATGCATTTATCACTCTGCAGACCCTTCTACTGAGAAGCCAAGCAGAGACTGATAGTCAAGGAATCAGCACAGGAATATGAGATTTGGGATGTATGCTGAGGACTGTAGTACTATGGCCTGACTCACAGGACTCAAATCCTAGCAGGCCTTAGCCAGCCCCTGCCCCTCCTCCAGCTTGGGTGTAAGCTCATACATATTCCTGTCCAAGGACAGACCCCTTCCCCAACAACCTGGGTTGGGGACAAACCCATGTCACTGTAATCCGGTTTTGCATGGTTCTCCCTGGAGGTCATAGGTGGGCCATGCTCCTGTCCTGGACCTTCAGGTGCCTCTAAGAGTGAGCTCTCAGTGACATGGTTGTCTTGACCACACAACCAGCAGTGTAGCCCTGCTCTGCCATGGCCACTAGCAAGCCACACGTGATGGGCCATGGCAAGCAGCCTCCATGGCTGCCCCAAGCCAGATGGCACATTTCCCTCTCTTCTGGCTGGCCCAGGCTCACTGCCCTCCAGTGGTGACTCAGGCAGCCCAGGTGCTGCAGTCAGATAAGTTAGTGAGGCAAGGAGTACATCCCTTGGGCCAGAGCAGGAACAGAGCTGGGGGCAAGCCTTGTGGAATCTTTAGCACCTAACACAACTGTCTATGCAGCTGAACTCAGAAAGATGTGGCTTTGAGAGTGAACTGGAAGGTCATTTCTGGGGTCAGCCCCATGACTGAGAAGTGTCAGGGAAGGAATGGGAAGTGGATGACCTGCCCAGGATACACTGAGCGCCACCACCACTGGGAGAAGGTACCTCCATATGTGGTGGCTTTTGGGCCACCACAGGGATGAGAACCATGACCAGGACCCTGGGTCCTTATGAGCTACTAGCTATGGCATGACTCATATGGCAAGGTTACCACCCCTAGGCAGTGTGATGTGGCCAAGGGCCTGCTCCTCTTCTCCTAAGTATCAGTATCAAAGGAAGCCTTGGACCAGAGCTTGAGAATCCCTCCCTGAGCCTGTAGACCACAGAGAGGCCACCCAATGACTAGGACAGGACCATGGCCTGTGAGCTACAGGGAGAGGACAGAGCTCTACAAATCTAGCCCTGCAGACTCTCTGCCCTTCCAGATATTCTCAGCCCTGAGTGGCTTGTAATATGCAGGCATTGGGTCAGATCTACATAGGCTCGCATGAAGTGCCTGTCATACCCCTCACACACATACACAGGGAAGGTGGGTCACAGTGTGGTCGGACTTAGGTGCCTTCCATTTCCAGGAGGTCTGTAAACATGGCTTGAAACCCAGTGGCTGCTGTACTGTCATAATTAGGGGCTGGTGCTCATCCACCCAGTACCAGCCTACCCACTACCTATACCAGCAGGGCTTCTCTCCCAGGGCTGCCCAAGTCAGGGTACTTTTATGGTGTGGAGTAGCAGGAAACTTGTGGACTCCCCTCCTAGCCTCCTAGCCTCCTTGCCTACTGGGTTCTGCGGACAGGAAAGCCAGAGAGCTCCCAGGACCCCGCGCAGGGAAAATGAGCTTGGGACATTTGGGGCTCCCCAAGACAGACTGACTCTGTCAATACTTGGGAAATTCTGAGTCTCTCCTTTTCCAAGGAAGTTTGGAGTCCCTGTAGCAGCCCCTGAGAAAGTGCTTCTCACCATTTCCTCAATGGATGTGGTTCTGGCCCATGGCCTCAACACACTGCCTCTCAGCCTGATCTTGCTAGTGCATGCCCTTGGGTGCACCTTCCAGTCTCAATTTCTCTGTCTGTTAGGTGATGTACCATAGTCATTTTGCCCCCTGAGAGTCTATGGGGAGAGACCTGGACATAGACCCTGAGCCAGTTTGTGGCCCCAGTATCCCCCAAGGGTTTTTGTTGAGTGGAGTCCCTCATTCAAATTCAGTGTTGTGGCAGAAAGTTGTGCTGGGAGTCTTCAGCTGGCACCTCTTCTTGGTGCATTTTATTCATATGTAATCCTTCTAGTCCTCACAGAAGAAAGTTAGTTTCAAGAACAAACCCAGTATCTACTTAACTTTTAAATTATAAGCATTGCAACCCAATGTTATATAAAAAGAAATGCTTTCCGGACAAGCTTTTTCTCCTCACTGCTTTTCCCACAGGCTCTTCACAATGCAAAGCTGACTGTTTTTAACCTTGGAAAAGGTAAACCAGAGGCCCCACTTAGAACTATTTTAAGCACCGACTTATAAAGTAAAAGCAGCTGTAAAATAAAAAGTTTCAGAAATATTTCCATTTCCTGAAGTGATGGGTCAGAGAACCTTGCCAGCAGCCAGATCAGTTGCTTGGATGGAGCTAGGTGTCTAGGCCTCCACCAGCTCCACCTGGCATGAGTCAAGGGCTGGCTTTTGGAACAATCCTGGCCAATGTCAGTCCAAGTTTCCATAACTTGTCAAGTGGGAGAACCAGCAAAGGCCACAGCAGGCATGTCACAGGCTCACCAGGGTCCCCACCAATCCTGGACCTCAGGGGAGAGCACAGTTTGGAAACAGGCCTACCCTGCCCTCTCAGAGCCAGCCTAGCCCTGGCCTAGCTGTTTCTCTTGTGGGCTTCCCCTCTCTCTACCTGACCAGAGACTTGCTAAGGGCCTGAGAGGCTCATGGATGCCCTTCCAACATTCCACTACCTCCCAGCCTTAGGGGCCTCTGGCCAGATCCAGGGAGCAAGCTTGGGGGAAATGCACTGAATCTGCCCATCTTGGGCCAGAAGTGCCTCCTTCCCACTCTCTAGGGCCCTCTGCCCAGTCACTGAACCAATAGCTCTTGCCCCAGGAGTTATACTCAGAGACTGAGTTGGGAAACCAGGATGCCACCCTGATGACAGGACTGCCTTAAAGTCAGAGATCCAGGGAAAACCAGGCAGGGGAGGGTGCCTGTCCCCATAAGTGAGCACTGACTGGATGCCAGGCCTGGGTGGAGCTGGTTGCCTGGCCCCATGGCTCTAGCCCAAAGCTGTGGAGGACAGGAGAGGGTGGGGCTGCACTCACCTGGGCGGTGACAAGGAGGGTGAAAGTCTGCAGAACCTTGCTGCACATAGGGTACTCTCTTGGCCCCACAGTCCGCAGAACACAGAGTCTACCTGAGTGGTCACAGACACAGCCTCCTCTATCTCCCTTGTATGGGGGTGAGCCCAGTGTAGGGCTGAGTCCTCAACCTTCTTCTCTTCTCTCTGCCCTGACCTCTGTCTGTCAGGACCCTGGCTGGCCATGTCCAGGGTATTTAGACCAGACACGGAGCTCAGATTAGGCATGTCCTCCTGTGAAATTTGACAAGAGCCCTACGTGCACCATATCACAGACATATGGGGCAGTTCTGAGGCATCCTAGCTCACAGTTTCCTAGGGCCTTGTATAGTTGTGAATCCAAATAGTGCTTGATGGGGGCCTCCCCTGAGTACCTTGGAGAGGGCTGGGTTGAGATTCTCAATGGCCCCCCCTTTCCCTGCCAGCCATTCACTTCAGGGATTGTCCTGCCAAGACCCAGGTGAAGGAGATACACAGCTGCCCCAGGCCCAGCTGATTTGGGTTCTGATTCTGCCCCAGTGGCCTCTTGCATTCCCATCCAGAGTACTCTCGGGGGCCTGAACATAACAGGGTCTTATTAAAGGTGCTATCTGCTCCAGGAAGACTCGCTTGTCCTAGCAAGGGACACACAGGGCCACAGCTCAGTGGTTTCATGTTTTGAAACCACTCAGCTTTCCCTTCAGCCTTTAAAAAAAATTCAACATTTTTAGTAATAAATTCCCTTGACAGGTAGACACCAAATGCCCTGCTTTGCCAAAGGACATTGAGATAGTTATATAAAGCTGCTACCTCACAGGTGACATCAACAGCATACCAATGCATCCTTAGGCTCTGGACAGATTTGCTCTCAGGGATGATCTCTTCCAACCACTATGCAGAATTCAAATGTGAGAGAATCTAGGTAGCTGCGTCTGCAATTTTCCTGTGGGTGTCAGCCGCAGAGCTACATGACCCAGTGCCCAGTCTCCTCTGCAAACCGGGCAAAAAACAGGCCCATGTGGTGGGTTTTGGGGGGTTGAGTGGAAGGAAGCACTGCCTGGAACAGAGAGGCTACTGGATCTTCACCATCACCAGGAAGGCCTGTGCTTCACGGGTGTCATCACAGTGGATCCTGTCACACAGGCTCCTGGAAGGTGGTATCTCTCTGGTTGTTATTTATTAGGCATGGTAGATTTCCAGCAACCCACATTAGGGGAGTTCTTGTTAGTATTTGGTAGGACACTGCAATCCCTTCCATACCATGTCCCACCCAGGGAAATTCCAGGGACAGAGAGCGGCTCCAGAGAAGTTCCTGTTTCCCTTGGGGCTTCCTGAGGAACCTGGGCCACTGAAGGGGGCAGGGTGTGGCTGGATGAGATTCAAATCCCTGCTTTGTCTTCCCAGAATGTCCTGGCTCACATCCTCTCTAAACTCAGAAGTTCCTCACACTGCTCATCTTTAACACCAGAGAGGAACCCCGCCACCCCCCCACACACACACACACACTTCCAGCCCTCTGGGCAGGTCCACCTCTCAGACCCAGGGAGGATGTCTGAGGATGGCAATGTGGGCTCCCATGAGGGCTTGGTCAGCCAGCCTGATCCCTGTGCCGGGGAGAATTGACACCAGGCCCCCACACAAAAGGCAGAGCTTTTCTGCAGCTT